TAGCTAACAATTTTAATCTTCTTTCCATTAAATGATCCTGTAAGAAAATTTTTTTATAAAAATTAAACTATTTCTAAATTTTTCAATTATATATTTTACTTTAATTTTGTAAGATAAATAAAATTAAATGTCGTTATTAAATGTGTTTCGAAACACAATGGGTATTCGTCAAGATTAAAATCCCCTATCAGTGTTGGTTTAGGGAAATCCCCTCATTTCGACAATATCAATTGTATTTATTACAAATTTATAACTGTATAGTTAAAATTATTATTAATATTTACCAAAAAATGTTGCGTTGATATTTGCAGTGATTTTTTTATGAGCCGAGTAACTTTTAAAAATTATTCTCATGGGTCATGGACTTTCATTAAATATTTCAGGTTAGAAACATTTTCCAACAATCCTGCACAAAAATCGGTTTTCTTTGTTGTTTGGTGATTACCATTTATCTCCCTTTGTGTAAAAATCTGAAAAGAAACCTGAAAAATAACTAATTTTTATTAAAAATGTAATTGATTATTAAAGAATTACAATCTTTCAATCTGATCATTTCCTAACCTCACTTTTTGATTTGTTTTATTATTTTGTTTTTGTAACTCAACTTACCAATAAAAAGATGCAAGTGGTGGAAGTCTAAAATTGTTAAACAGAGTTCGGAACCTGCACTTCTATTATAACAAGTGCGATGTAAACTGAAAAATTGTATAATAATTATACTTGTTAATTAGTCAGTCGTGCAGTAATAGTACTTGGTTTTTGTAATTTTGTTCGCTATACTCATTAATACAATATTGCTCAGATGCATGTAATATCTCTCAAAACAGAATAATTTTAGTATTACACTAAATATTATTCTTTTATTTATTACACTGCGTCTATACGTCCGACTAGCCGGATAAAAAAATTTGTCCGGGTACTGATAGCCGGACGTAATAAATTCGTCCGGATACTGTCTAGCCGGACGTTTTGCTGCATAACACAGCTGAGTCTAAACGTCCGGCTAGTAAAATAATAACTGAAGCCGGTCAGCCGGATAAAATATTTAGAGTCTAAAACGTCCCGATAAATTAATGAAAGGAATTTTATTTGTATATAGTAAAAATGAAACTGAAGTTAACAATGTTGATTCAACGAAAAAATGTTTCTCTGCCTTGAAAGCAATTTTTTTCTTTTGACGATTATCTATTTTAATGTCAGAAACCATTTAGAAAATATTTCAAAAGGATATAAAGCAGGGAATGCAGTGAATTTGAATTTTTTTTGTCACAGATTTTCCAAAAATTCTGAAATTTCAAGTAAGTTGTTAATTTATTTTAATTATTTAGTTTAATTAATTTTCTTGACTTGGAAGCAATTTTTTTCTTTTGATAATTATTTATTTTAATATCAGAAGCCATTTAAAAAAGATTTTAAGAGGATCTAAGGCGGGAAAAGCAGTGATTTTGTATTTTTTGTCGTAGATTTTCCAAAAATCCCGGAATTACAATTAAAAAACAAAAATCACTACTTTTCCCGACTTGGATCCTTTTGGATTTTTTTTAAATGGCTTCTGACATTAAAATAAATTATTATCAGAAGATCAGAGATTTTTGGAAAATCCGTGCCACAAAAAATTCAAAATCACTTCTTTCCCCGATTTGGAACCGCTTAGGAATTTTTTTAAATGGCCACTGATATTAAAATAAATAACTATAAAAAAATTGCTTCCAAAGTGAGGAATTAGCAATTTACTTGAAATTCGGGGTTATTTTGGAAAATTCGTGACAAAAAAATGAAAACCACTTCTTTCCCCGCCTTGAATCCTCTTGGACTTTTTTAAATGACTTCTGCCATTAATATGTTAAGTCTATATGTAATAAAATATAATTTATTTAAATAAAATAATTTTTTTGAAGAAGATTAATAGTTCTATATAAATTTTACAGTTACTATAATTATATAATTATAGTAATAGTAATTATAGTATATTAATATAATATAAATAATAATTCAACTGGTAAAATTGTTATATATTTTATATTATCTAGTTGCCATTTATTCAAATGCTGAATTTTTCAAAAGGTAACTTATTAAAATATTTATGTTATGCAAAACTTTATTTTCTCGAACCATTATTAACTCAAATTACCATAAAATATATTTTTTAATGTTTATAAAAATGTCATATGACATAATGTTTACTGTAACAAATGTTAATTGCAAATAATGTTTTTATACTCGAATTACCACTTTTACAATGTTAAAAAATCCAAATGGAATTTTAATCTAAAAAAATTGACTACCAATTATTATTACAATAATTGACTATAATATTTTATAATGAAGAATAGTCAATTCTTTAACATTGTAAAATTGGTTATTCGAGTATAAAAACAATATTTGCAATTAACATTTGCTACAGTAAACATTCTATCAAATGACATTTATAAAATAATATTAAAAAATATATTTTATGGACATTTGAGTTCATAAAGGTTTGAGAAAATAAAATTTTGCATATCATAAATATTTTAATAACTTACCTTTTGAAAAATTCAGCATTTGAATTAATGACAACTAGGTAATATAGAATATATATAACAATTTTACCAGTTGAATTTTCATCTTCTTCAGGATTACACGGGTTTCAAATTATTCAACATTATGATTTTGGTTAAACTTTTATAGTAACTGTAACATTTATATAGAACTATTACTCTTCTTCAAAAAAATTATTTTATTCAAGGGTTAACACCACTCTAGAGGCAGAAAAGAAGACCAATTTTTGATGATTTGTTTTGGGAAAATGAAAAAGGAATAGGTTATCTTTTTGGAGGGTTTGTTAAATACATATTGAAGTGTAGAAAAAAATTTTTATTTTAAATTTTATAACAAAATGGCGACGATAAATTTTATAGTAACAATCGACTAATCTTTTTTTTAACAAAACGTCCGGAAAGATTTTTTGAAAAGTTTAAGTCCTGGAACAGAAAACAAAGAAATTTCATGATGTATATAATATACACGGAGAAAAATATAAAATAACTTTTACTACTTTTATAGTAAAAAATTTCCGGTAAATTTTTTACTATGAAAGTAGTAAAAGTTACTTTATATTTTTCTCCATGTAAACTTTGGAAGTGCATAAGGGTTTTTTATATATCAATTTTTGTAAAAATCGTGCACTTTTTGAGTACAATAATCGATTTTTTGCCTAAGAGTAATAAAAAGTAAATTGTTTAAAAAAATAAAGTTTACATCAAATTAAAAAATCTGTATGTAGTTCCAAAGTTTATAGTATTTAGTTTGTAAAATTTCTTTACTTTTTGTTCCAGGACTTAAACTTTTCAAGAAACCTTTTCGGCCATAAAAAATAGTCGATTTTGAATATGAAATTTATCGCCGCCATTTTGTTATATAATTTAAAAAAAAATTTCCACACTTCAATATGTATAATTAATAAATTCTCCAAAAAGAAATCCAATTCTATTTTTCATTTTCTCAAAATAAACCATCAAAAATATAGGTCTCTTTTTCTGGCTCTAGAATGGTGTTACCCTTAAATAAATTATATTATTTAGTAAATGCGAATCGGATAATTTGCTTATTTGCTGAAAAATAAATTCTATGATAAACTCACTTTATTAACATTTAAAACTTTTTAAATGGATAAAACTACGATTAGAACTTTTTAAATTTCGAAAATATACAGGCGTCCCAAAATATTTTTGTGAACAATAATTTTTTTAAGACTTACAATCTTCAAAAAATATTGTATTCTTAATTTATAGACATTTTTTAAATAAATAAATAAAAAAAGATATATACATAAATAAATGTTAGTCTTCTATTTACATTATTTATTTAACAAATATGTGCTTGTAAACTCTGCATAGAATATTTTTTGATGTTTATTTATCTAAAAAAAATATATATTATAAAATATTTTTTGTAAATATTTATAAAAAAGCAAAAAATTAATATAATAATTATAGAATGACAATAATTATAATTGTTATTACTATTATTATGCATATTATGTTTTCGCATTTAGTTATCAAATTAATTTTAAAATTCATAACCTAAAAATGTCAAAAACATTCAAGGAATATGTTATACTTGTAAAAATCTAATAGACGGACGAATTATAAAGTTCATTATTTTATCCGGATACTGTCAAACGCTCATCACCAGTACATATAGTAAATAGCCGGATGAAATATTTTGGGAGCTATATGTCCGTATATCCGGACGTTTAGACGAAATATTTCGTCCGACTAGCCGGACGTATAGACACTTCGTATTTATTAACCTCCTTGTAAAAATACACGCAATTGATGAGAGAGGGCAATGGATATTTATGACATACTGGATATTTTTGTCAATAATTGAGAAAATTGTAGCAAAATATTGATTCACTTGACATATGCAACAATTAAAAAACAAAATTTTGTAAAGAAATAAGTAAATCTTTTACACTTTATTTGTGAAAAACGGGGATGACATAACGGAAATTCTAGCACTTCTCGCGAATTTGTTACTAGTTTCCACTAGCAGACGGTCTTCACTGTGATTGGTTGATTCATGACTGATACCAATTTTGAATATTAGATTTTAAATAAATTGTCAACATTTATTTAATTAGAATAACAATATAAGAAAACGATTTTTATAATTAATACCGCTTTTTCTTTTGTTTAGAACAAAAAAATTTTCATAGTAAAGGAAACAATAAATTTTAGATGATTTTCTACTGTTCACTCCGCTTAAGCAGAAGAAAATACTAATGGGACACCATTAGTCAAATCAACAATTTATAGTAAAATATCCTTTTTAAGTAAAATATGTGAAATCTGTGAAATAAGATCAGAAAACGAAAAACTATTAGGTATTTCTGTGATTTATGATAGGACGATTTAATATTGGGAAGTGTTTAAGAGCCAAGAGCCATACAAAGGATCATAGTTTGTCATTTGATCCCCACTATTTCGTGTCATTATACCCATTGTACTTTTACGCCTTTTACGCATTGGAGGTTAATGTTGTTAACAACTGAAAGAATTTTATTAAATGTGTATTAAAATTATTAACTTTGAAAAGTAATATTTACATTTGATTTGAATAAAAAGATATTGAAAGTTATTTGCATCGACAAAAGATGCTTCTATCACTTTTCCAAAATGGCTGCTGGTTAACAAGTGCGCAAATGTAATTTCTATCTCCTTTGTTCAATATTATGAAGATTATGAATATTATCAATGAAGCATTCTGTCTTTCTGTCAATTCAGCTGATTTTATTTAAATCTTGATATTGGTAAGTTCTAAAATACTAAAATTAACAAAATATTATTCTTTATACAAATGAGAAATATAATCCGATTGGTAAATATTAAACTCTCTAGTTCCCTGTGTCACGGTGTATTTAGTTTCTTGTTTTGTCAAATGTGAACATTTTATATTTCTAAAAAAATTTTATTATTTACAATAAAGCGGGTGTATCATAATTATCTTCTGTTATCTGTATGATTTGTATTATCAATTATCTAATGTAATAATGACCAAACGCACACGTGAAAAAAGTGAGGTTAGGAAGCGTCCAAGTTATATTTTGATAAATATTGCAATGAGATAACTATTGTTATAGATGGTAAATTTTATTTCACATATCTCATGTTTAGAACAATGTAACATTTTTAACACAAACTAATATTTATTTTCCAGCTTTGGTGATTCGGTTAGAAGAAAGAAATTCCATCTCTGAAAGATTCCATTTCCATTATTGAATTGACATTGAATATTCAAGAATTATTTGACAATTAGGTATAAAGTGCGACATTGATGGACAAGCTTCGTTATTTTGGTAAATATTTATTAATTCTTAATAATAAATACGAAATAGTTTAATATAATTAAATAATCGTAAATAAATTTAAAAGAAAATTAAAAAATTGATGATCCCCGAAGGAAGGGGATTTACCTGAAACGACGAGATGGTCTGGTAGGGAATTTTATTTCTTCGTGTTGACCTTTTTGTTCACAACCATATATTTAAATAATATTAAATTTTATTTACATTTGAAAATTAAATCAAAATAAATAATTATAAAATTTAGAAACAGTTAAATAAGCTAAAAAAATTTTTTGTTGAAATAAATTATAAATTTATATAACAGTTTTGTGAATAAGTAAGAAAATATTTGTTTGTTAAAGTAAATTATAAATTATAAATTTATATAAAAAAATTATTAAATATTTTTTTGTTTTTTTCAAAATGAATAGAAAAATCAGATTTCAGTAATTATTTTGTTTTTAATAAAATATATTTTTTTCAGCTTCATCAAAAGGAAGAAGGCAACAATTTTTTACCATATTAGAAAAAATTCAGTTTATTTTTTTTCAACAAAGAAATAGTTTTGCAAAAAGAGCAACAATTGTGTGTTAAACTCAGTGGTATTTGTCAATTAAATCCTAGATTTATTAATGAAAGTAATTTGCGTCAGTGCGGTTTTGTAAATTAAATATTCAATTAATTAAAATTTGAGTTTGGGATTTTTAATCATTCATTGATAGAACTACATAGTTACAGAGTAGCTTGCATTAAAAATAGTGGATTTTCAAAATATAGAGTCTGGGGCGGGTCATTATATACTAATCTTGCTAACACTAATTTGTAGTAGGTCTGTGATTTGAAAAATTATTATAATTTAGTCAGTGCGGTTGGGAAAAGTGAATTTGGAAGGATTTCAATCGGGTATCTTCAAATTTCAACTATGGTACTTTATCATTTTATAAATATTTAATTTTTCAGTAATTTTGAACAAATTTCTATCAAATAATAAACTGTTAAAGTTTTATGTAACATAATTTTATTATTTTAAAGTATTGTGCAGATTGGCTTCTAAGTTTCATTACTCTGTTTTCTTAAAAATAATTAATAACTTTAAAATCAAATTTACAGATAAAAATAATTTCAATTTTCTATATTTTTTGCTTTTATACAATGAATTAATTTTGATTTTTGTAATTTCAGAACTTATGGATTTAACGATGATTGTGGGGAAATTTTGATACAAGAGAGGCAATTTCGACATTACTTTGTGATAATTCGTCATCGGTGAGTCCCTCTTATTTTCAAATATTTGTCTAAAATATTAGATTGTAATAAATTTGAAAATTGATTTTATTAGCGATTGGATAATTGTTCTGTTCATTAGATAAGAATTTTTTTCTTGATTTTTGTAAGCATTTTTATAATTCTATTTATTATTTATTTTTACGTTTTTCCCTTGAAGATAATTTTTTTTGCAGTAACTTTTATCTATTTTTTATCCACTTTGTCAATAGGCGATTTTTTCATTTTGTACCATGAATAATCCATTATAATTTTAATACTATTGTAGTAAAAACAAAAATTGAGAAAATGAGTTTTATATTTATGAGATTTTTGAAAAAACTTTAGAGAAAAATGGGAAAGTGTTTAAAAATGCGCCCTGAAAAATTGAATTTCATGGTTAAAATTTTGAAACACGGTAATTAAGAAAGTAGGCAGGTGAATTAGTTTAGCAGAGCTCTTTCGAACAGAAAATTATGGCAAGGAGACAGATGATTTTACGTTGTGCGTTATGCTGGGGGTGGAGCAAAAAGCACTGACATCCAACAGACTGACAGTGACTGACATTCGTCTGACGTTTCCAATGATCTCCAATGGTTAAAATTAACGGTCTTCAAAAATCGCTTTTTAGAAGAAATCACTGTCCTTGACAGAAGAAACTTTCTTAAAATATTCTATTTCCTAGATTTTAGATTGAAAAATAAAATTCTAAATAAAATTTCATTTTCCTATTTCAAATATTGAATCAGTAAATAAATTCCTACTTTTTTCTTCTTCGGTTGCATAAAGAGGAAATAAATTAAAGTGCTTCAAATACAAGCAGAAAGAGAGCAACTCGACTCATTTCTTGAGATTTTTTACATTTTCTCCGAAAATGAACTAGAGGTCCGCTTCCGTCGTGAGGGGGTAACGTTGGCCGGGCAGTATATTTCTTCTATTGTTTAGCGACGGAGTTTCCTATTGTTTCTAGAATTTATCGTTTCACGGGAAGTTTGGCCACACGGTATAAGCGGGTGCTTTCATCTTGAGAGGGAAGAGATAGATTCTCTCGGGTGCTCAACGATAATTAGTACTTCTCCAAATTATTTATGCCTCAAATAAATCAGGTGAAAGCTTAATTGCTTTCCCCGTTCCATACCTATCCGATAATTTTGTGCTGACTGTGCAATTTATGCGCGAAAGATGCGCTTCTATCCTTCGAGATGCGTTACATTGTAAAATCAGCAAATCAAATTTCTAAACTCTTGTTTCCATTCTATTTATTTACATATCTCTGCTCAACTCTGGAATAAAACAAGTCTTCTTCTTCTTCTTCTTCTTTTTTCCAAAATCCAAGAAACATTAATTATTTCGATATCAGTGCCTCTTTATGGTAAAAGTAAAAATAATATAAAAAGCTATTAATTAAATTCCTAATCAATTCGATACAGTGTTGAAAAAGTAAAAAAAAATTGATTCTCGATCAAGTAATTATATGCGCGTCGGCAGTCCACTTCGCTTTCGATAATCGATAAAGACTCTCAGTTTCATTCTGCCGAACCTTGCAATCATCGCTCGTAAAGCTGGACCACGAATCGTGATTTTAACGACATCCCTTTATCTATCCAACGTGTTGAATTTATGATCTTGAAAGTCAAATTTATTTCTCAAAGTAAAATGTACAATGAGAATAAAAAGACTTTATTTTATAAACTACGTATATTTGAGTGCATGAATATAAAAAAGAAGTGAAAAAAATATATAGTATAAAATCTGAGAATTACTAAGAAACTTGGAGTTTCAAAGGAAAAGGAAGTGAGGAGAAGGGATGTTTGGCAACAGGTTTCATCCCTCCTCTAACACTACCCCTAGAGCTATCATCTTTTCTGAAAACGTCTGATTTTTCGTTCGACAGAATTTATTCTATTCCCGTCCCCTCCTCTCGACACTTTCCCACTACGGGAATTCGAGTTATGCATTTTGCGGGAAAACCGGTTTCATCCTCAAAATTATAAAGCATCGCTACATATATATATCTCTCTTCTCTATTTCACTCGGGAAGAATGAATCGAGTACATATTTTGACAAGGACCTTTAAATTTTCAGTTTACTTTTTTGCGACGATTCACTGTGTTTTGCATTTTAAAAATTAATTCCATCTCTTGACAAAACTTTCAGATTTTTTTTTATTTCAATATCACTTGAGGAAAATTTTTAATTTAGTTTAAATCTCTGTAAGGATAAACAATTTTTAGTCACAGTTTTTCTAAAGATATTCAGGGTTGCCACAGGTCAGGGTAATCAGGAAAAAGTCAGGGATTTTTATTAAAAGTACTGGAAAAAATTAAATATTTAGAATTTACAAAAAAATTCTGAATTTTTTGCCTTTTTGTTTGCCTTATAAACTATGAAATTACCACGAATTCAGGACTTTTTATAAAATTCAATTGTTTTCATAAATAACAATATTCATCACAAGAATTCAATTATTTTCAAAATTAATAAAATTATTCGTAGAAATTTAGTTATTTTCAAAAAATCTAAAAAAAAATTGTTTTTCGAGACAAAAGAGGAATCAAAAGTGTTGCGAGGCAACACAAAAGTTGTTCCTTTTTTGTCTCAATTTGATATCTGCAGTAAAACTGTGAGTGTTAAAAAAATGCATTAAAGTTAAAGTCCGAACAATGTTCTTAAAAATTTTTTCCACGGAATTTTGATATTTATTGAAAATTTTGTAATGTAATGTAATGTGTAATAAAAAAATATAAATGGTCTAGAAACTTGAAGAATTTCTTTTCAGTGCTTATAGCAAACATTTGAAAGGTTCTTTGTAGCCTCCTACAATGTTCTTTAAGCCATTGTTCAGTGTGCATCGATAATTTGGAACATCCTTGGTTCTTTGAGATATTGGTGCATCGAGATCGCACCTTTGAGGAGGGGAGAAATTGGAGGGTGCATAGATGGTGCCGCCACCAGTCTCTTCGGAAAAATAAATCTTCTCTTCCTGGAACACCAGCTCGTTGGCCACGATATGTACTAAAAAGAGATTTTCAAGACCAGTTCTAAGCCTCCCACCATCCTTAGCTTTTACTTAAACAGTAGTTTTCTTTGAATAAGGCCCTGAATAAACATTTCCACTTTTTATATCAACATTTTATTCTCTCATTTCTGTATTTTTTCATTTGGGAAAACACTGAATATGCTACTTCAGCATTTAGATGCTTTTCGAATTTTTCAATATAATAATTCATGCTGTTTTTATTTTTTTTTATTCTTCAACAATTTAAAGGCAAGCTTTGAATAAAGTCTTCCGGAAACTTTCATGGAATAGAAATAAACTGGAAGCTGGATTTCGTTGCACTGCACGGGTTTCGCCGTAAAGAAAATTTATGTCTAGCCACTCAAGGACAAAAACACCCTGAATAAAGTACTGCTATAGACTGTGGACTAAAAAGTTTCTCTTTTTGTAAAGCAGGTGCTTCTTTTCTTTGCAAATGCATAAATTATTTTCCTCGAGGAAATAATAATTTTTGAATTTTATTTGTCTTCGAAATACCAAGAATTGGTGTAAGCTCTAATATTTCGTGCTTGACATAAATTAGAAAAACATCAGCATTGTTGATATTTTCCATAAAGAGTTGGATTATAAAATATAAAAAATTTGAAAAGCAAAATCCTTTTAAAACTATTGAATAATTTTGAAAAATGACATTGTGCTTCCTTTCTTGTCGATTACCAAAGACCGAAATTCTGAATGGCACAAAACGCCTGACAATCGAAGCATTGTCGCTCTCTCTTTGAAAGTGCAGACTTCACGTTGGAGGAAATAATATTAACTTCCGGTGGCAAGGTTTCTCGCAGCTAGCATCCCATCCTGCAACGTCTTTGTAATCTGAGAAGCAGCTCGCGAGTTTCCAATATGTGTCCTCCGTTTCAACTCTTTCAGACACTCGACCTCTCTCCGTTTTTTCAAAACCCCTTCCCTGCTTCTCTCGTTTTCTCATGTGCAACCACCCGGTACGCGAGTAATAAAAAAATTACAGGTCCCTTTGACGGGACACCCGCAATCAGAAAAAAAATTACACGTTCCCTTTAATCTGATTTTCATGGAGAATCCCCGGACTGTGGCAAAACCTCCCCTTGCTCCAGAGAAACGTTCTGGCCGCAAATTATAGTTCAATGCGTTTTTCCATTGGGGTTGCAACTGTTGCGTCAAAATCAACCCCTGCCATGCAAAAGGTTTTCTTTGGGGTTTATTTATTTCAGTAAAGTGTATCGTGGCTCTTATTTTTAAACAGGTCAACGTCTATTGTCTTTTTTCATTAAATTTTCTTTCCATGTACACTAAAATATCATCAAATACATCTTAATAAATTATAATCATATATAATTATGATCCCAAAGTTCTAAATGTTCAAATGAACGAAATTTATTTCTTCTAGTTGAATGTTTATTACAATAATGTATAAACAAATATTTTTAGTAAAAACATTTTGTTCATTTGAGCGTTCCGGTTCAAAATTGAATCATTCAAGATCGTCTTATTTTTTGGACAAGAGTATAAACATTGAATATGAAAGTCACCTGAAAGTAAAAATTTTAATTCACTAAAATTTAGACCAATTTTAAAGAATTTATTACGATAATCAACCACCGAGTGAAACAAAGTTCTAAAAAGTTTTACCTGAGTCCGGTTGCAATAATACAAGAAAGATAAAAGAAATCATCGAGAAACTCATAAAGATAAAGTGCAAACTTGTCTTTTGTACGATATGCAAATTACAATCTGACGGCATTTGTGTTTATTTTTAATTGCATTATTATCTTTGAGGAGTTTCTAAGTCTAGACAAAAAAATTTATTTTAATTATAAAAGATTATCATCTGAAAATTATTAAACATAATATACAATAGACATTTGAGAAACAAGATATTGCAGATGTAAATACAGTAGGGCAAAGCTCCAGATTATTCTATGAAAGCTTTTTGTATTATACGATGTTTTCTCTATTAATGATTCTTGCA